GCCGGTTTCAATGCTTCATTGCCTAAGATACGTGAGATTGTTCTGAAGAAAGTTAGTGATTTTAGCATTCTTATCCACTCGGTGAAGAATTCCGGTGGTGATTCGGTGAATAAGTGCTCGGTCTCGTTGAGTAAGCGGAAATTGGTCCAGGACGCCGAGCCATTGATTGTAGAGGAGCCATTGAAACCATGGATTACACTGAAAAGGAATATAAAGAACATAAAGTATCTGCCGTCGATGGTCGATATCAGTTTCAAGAATAGGTATGTTTATGTAGATGTCGGAGCTCGGAGTTACGGCTCTAGTATAGTTAGTTGGTTTAGAAAACAGTACCCGAAACAGAACAAGACCTTCGAAGTGTATGCTATCGAGGCGGATGAGCATTTTTATGAAGAATACAAGTTGAAGAAGCATGTCACTTTGCTGCCATATGCTGCGTGGGTGAAGAACGAGACTCTGTCCTTTGAAATAAACCGAGACCCGGGTCAGAAATCGGAGGACAAAGGTAGAGGGATGGGCAGGATTCAGCCGGTGCAGTCCTCGAGCGATGGGGAGGTGGCTACAATTCAGGGATTCGATTTTGCGGAATGGCTGAAAAACACAGTTACGGAGAAGGATTTCGTGGTGATGAAGATGGATGTGGAGGGGACCGAGTTCGATTTGATTCCGAGGCTGTTTGAGACTGGGGCTATCTGTTTGATCGATGAACTGTTTCTCGAGTGCCATTACAACAGATGGCAGAGATGTTGTCCCGGCGAGAGAAGCTCCAAGTACGGGAAAACATATGGGCAATGCTTGGACCTTTTCACATCCCTGAGACAGAGTGGAGTTCTTGTACATCAATGGTGGTAGTAACTCTTGGAAACAAGCAACATTATTGCCAATGCTGACCACATATGTTTTCTTTTGATGCTGTGATTCTCCTCTTACAGTGGCATTTATTGTACTGCTTCAGTTTAGGCTTTTGTCCTGGATTACTCATTGTATGAAGTGCTGTAGTGAAATAGCTCGAATGAAATCCAACGAATGCATGGTTTCTCTTGCAGTCGAATCGAATGTGTGCTCGTTCTTTTCATTTTGCAGCTTCTCTTTCCGCTTATGAACTGGTTAGGCATGAGGCTTCCGTGGCTTTAGCTGTTGCTACCTTGCCATTACAGTTTGCTTCTATAGATCATGTTGGTCCGTTGCCCACTTACTGCCATTCACACTTACTGCCATTCACTTTATGTCCTTTTCGCGATTTGAGGACCACAAGTGGGAGTGGTAGTAGTGCTCATTCTTTTCGATAAAACAATGTGAGATGTCCACCTTCCCCTTTCCCTCAACCTTGAGTTTGCCCATTAGCTTATTAAGTTTGCTGCTAATTGCAAGTAGCCGTTGAGGACCAAATTTCCTCTCTCTCTCTCTCTCTCTCTCTCTCTCTCTCTAAGCTTGAGGTTTTTAGGTTTGGTCGAATTTGGAGGACTTGAAGGGCATTAAGGGCTCTAGGCCAACTGGATAATACACAAGAGGAAGCTGGGCATTCGAAAAAGTATGGTTGTGCTGTTTTGTCAAAATGGAGGGCGCGAGAAATTATCGTGTGAATGTCGCACATATGCTAAATTTAATCTGTACCATCGAAGATGGCGAGTTTCACGCGGGTCTCACCAAATCCGATGGTCCGAATTCAATTCATTATATGTACTAGGTGCATGGAATGCTTGCTCGGAAAGCACGGACTCCAGGAAGGTCGAGTGCATATGCTACTGCTTTTGACTTGTTGCCTGAGAGCAAGGGCATGACTGGTGTGTCCTGCTGTCTGGAATGTCTTTTGTGTGTCCCCCTCCTTTCCATTGATTGCGATGCGATGCATTGTTTCGGTTGGCCTGCAGTTTCTTTGGCGTTGTTCTTTTTGAGGGCCCATTTTGCGGACTCTTACCATGGGTTCAATCTTTCTCATATGGATTTTGTTCAAAAAGTGCCTCGAGAAGCAACCAAATAAAGCGATATCGCAATCTTTAATGAATCGACTGTTTTAGTAATATGCATAGTCAATACTTAAAAACCGAATTTATCCTCGTTAGGCATGTTTAATATGTATCCTGAGACCGTTGTGAACAAGACATTTTTCGCTTTTCATGTACTTGCGAGTCGGATCGATCAAAGTGGCGGGCATCTTCAGGGCAACGATGAACCGTCTGATTTGGTTAGTTTCTCAAATTTTCCTGGATGAATTCTATGTGATGCATCCGTTATGAGAACTATACTCTGTTCACAACATCAGGAACAATTTTTAATTGGGTCTTTCGTGAACGGTTGGGTTAAAGCTGGGACATGTTTCTTTTGGTGCGCTCCTGGCAACGAACATCACCAAGGAGGCTCTGGAGTGAGTTTGCCCACCAGAATTCAGGATGCATTCCGCGAGTAAGCTTTCCCCGTTCAGCCACGAAGGATCTCCGATCACACGGGCCTCGACGGCCTGACTTTCCCTGTGGACAGGTTCGGACGATGATTTCAGACCCTTGAGGTCGACCCAAACCGAGCAACATTGAGTACTATTCGAGGTATAGCCGGGCTTGCGCAAGAGGTAACCCTTTCTAGGACCTGCCCAAACCTAGTAGATCCAACTGGGCTCTCCGAGCCGGACCCTGATTTTAGGAGGATTTAGGGATTTGTTCTTTGCCAATCATGAGTGAGTTTGCGCGACGATTTTCACTCTCCATAGCGGATAGGCAACGGCTCAGCCCGTTGCTTTGGTGGGCGCACCCCACTGAACGTGTTTTGCCTCGAAGCAACTAAGTCAATTATCGGTAGTTGGGAAGATCACGAAGCTAAAGTCCCGATATGTGACGTGGTTAGATTGGTAGAACATGTTTTGAATCTTGGGGGGAAGTTCAGCCTTGATTAGCAAACCAACGGGCAAGCTCCGAGCGATTGACTCAATCAACTTCCTTTTTGTCTCGTTAAGGTTGTACGATCTTAAAATGGATCTGGAAGATATCGGTATGGTAGAACAACAAAGGTTAGGTGAATATAATCACGAAATTAAGTCGATCTTAACGATAATGGTAAAGTGCAGAAGAATGCCAAAGGCTTGGTGATAATGATGACCTTTGAACTCACAATTGACTTAGCCAATGATTGAATTAGGCAGAGTCGACTTGACTTAGTACATTATAGATTGCGTGACGAAACAATGAATCATGTTTAATTTGTCTCGAGTCTTCAGGGAATTCATGCTCGTAAGCTCCCCCAAAAGACTTATAATCCCCTTGATTAAGCTTAATTGCTATAAATTAATCAAGGTCAATTACCCAACCCACATGCCTGTTCCTAATTCTCATTTTCCAATCCCTGCTTAACCACCTGTTGGGTGTTGTTTTGACAATCATTGGAGTTGCTTAGCCTACTTGGATAAAACATCTTAACATTTTACTGGAAAATCATACTTACATGCGATTCAAAATTTAAGGTCTAAAATCTCGATTTTTCGAATAATACATCGTCCCCATTGCATTTCTGGCGTTATAAACGGAAATAATCCATCTTGAAAATGAGACAAAGTAACATTTCTCAGCTCAGAACATGTCGATTAAGTCACGCGATATCTCTAAATTGAGACTAGAAAACGGATAAATGCGTACGATTCCTTATTCCGTCGATTCTTTAGTATCCCATACGTTATTCTCGCAAAATTCAGTAAATCTACAAAGAAGGAATTAGAATCTCGCTCGAAGCAACCAAAGTGGCAAGAGTAGCTTGAGGAATTAAAAGAAAAAAATATTTGATAGATTTTGCTTAACCAATGGCAAACAAGAGCAATCTAAATGTCCCAATTAAAAAAATTCATTGCACATGCCCCGTTGACCAATTGATAAGGATATGCAAAACTTAAATGCATGCCGTTTGATTAATATCACGTAAAAAATTCATTTTCTTAGGGATTATTTTGCTAGTAAGATAGAGTGCAATATACGCACGAATATTAATCGTAATTAGTTCTAAATAATTACCGTCTATGCCGATGTTTGGCAACATGATTTAGTTACCATTAGTACTACAAATAAGAAGGGCGCATGCTCAATAAATCGAATTTTGTGAATCTTCATGTAATGTCGTATTTCGCACACTTTCGTACGGAAAGAAACAACGATAAGCCTAAGTCGAGATTATAGTATATATTACAACAAGTATAGCACGTTTAATAATAGAGAAAAAAAATTAGTGAATTCTTTTCTAGAAGCTTTAGAATTAGTAAGCCTCCTAAATAGGAATTCGAGATTTAGACCCAAAAAAATAAAAATAGGAATTCAAGATACGAAGAGATCTGATGTTTAAAAACTGACCCCAATCGATAGGGATTGGGTTTGGTTCCAAACGAGGAATGACTCCTCTAAGTAAGCTAATTTTTTATGTTCTTTTTTTTTTCTTTTCCTAAAAGATTTCGATAAGGTGAGTTGTCATATTTAATTTTATTTTCACCAAAATTGGAAAAAAGAAAGAAGGAAAAAAATGGAGAGAAAGATTCAAATAAAAATAAGGGTCAATACCACCAAAAACTTCAATTAACAAATTTACCTTAAACTTATTTTTTTCACCAAAAACTCAAATCGGTATACTTGTGACAAATTTACCCTTCGTAAAATTGAATTAATATCACGAAAAATTACTAATTGATAAACCTGTGACTAACGGAGGAGGTAAAGCCCTAAATCGATGCACCCGTCAACTGTTATATGTCATTCAATTCAGCAATTTGATAGTAATATTTAACGGAAATTAACAGAGGGTAAATTTATCGCATATGTGCCGGTTTGGAGATTTTTGTGGTAAAAAAATTAATTTTTGGTAAATTTATCACAAACGTTTTAATTTGAGATTTTTCGTGATATTAACCCTAAAAATAATTACCATTTTCGTCGCCCAGCAAATCTCCCACAAATTCTCCCTCAAGAGCCGTGACATTTTGAGGCTTTGACTTGAAATAAATAAATGAACAAAACATTGAAAGGGAGGAAAAAGAGGGAGATTCGCAGGACATAAAGAACGAGGAGCACGCCGCTTCTTTGTTCTTTACGATGTTGCGAACGTTGTCGTCGTTTCTTGTTTCTTGCCCCCGATTCGTGTTTTGATGTCTTGTCCCGTTCTTGTTTCTTCAGGAAAGAAACGCATGCCATCGAAAGATACACTGGCCGCCTCCGCCACCGCCACCGCCACCTCGGATTCACCTCCCTTTCCCTTAGCCTGCCCCTCCTAGGAACGAACCCGATTTCGTTTTTACCCGTCGTTTCCTCGCGCCATTTTTCCGGGTAGAACCTGCTGGGGATGAGGGTGGAGAAATTTCTGCTGGGGGGTGTTCGGTTGCTGTGAATTTTCTTCTTTTTTCCTCCTGAAAGATTTGATTTTTTCCCTTTTTCTTTTGTGTGGATTGTGGAAGATGGGAGCGTGTTGCAGCACGGACCACGACGTGGGTCGGGACTGGGTCGGGATTGTGAACATTGACGGAGATGATGAGATTGAGGGTGATGATGAAGGAGGAGGAGGAGGAGGAGGAGGAGGAGGCGTGAGAGAAGGAGATCTTGGGGCCCGGGTGAGGCTGAGGGGATCTAACGATTCTTGCTGTATGTTCAGCAAGCGAGGAAAGAAAGGGATCAATCAAGACGCCATGACCATGTGGGAGGTAAATTTTTAAGGAAATTTTTCTCGTTGGTTTCTGTTTTATCCATGTTCTCTAGAGAATTTTTCTTGGCTGGCCTCTCTGTTCGATATTGCTTTTGGGGGAATGCTCTGCTTTTTTTCTATGAGCCATACTATTTTCTGGGTTCAATTTTCTATCTCTTTTTCTGGAGCAGATGGTCGTGTTCTTGATAATTGAATATCTTGTTCTGTCACGATCGTATATGATCTTGGTGTTTTTTTCCCTTTTTTTTTTGAGGTTTTAAATTACTTGCCAGACAAGTTTCAATGTTTTTGTGCATGTAACATATGGTGGGGGAGGTGCAAATGGATTCAAAAATCAAGTCATTAGTCAAATATGATCATAATCTGCACTGGAAAGTTGCACCTTTCAGGAAAAGATGTTCAGAAATCAAACGCACGAACCCATCAATTCTGTAGATTCGTGCTACCATACGGCTTAATTGGAACCTTGGGAAACTACACTGAAGGGTTTCGTTTCATGATGATAGCTGCGGCTAACGAAAACTTGAAAAAATTTTCAGGACTTTACTGGCGAAAAAGGTGCATTCTTTTGCGGGGTGTTTGATGGCCATGGTCCCGCGGGTCATAGAGTTGCACGACACGTGCGCGACAGTTTGCCTTCCAAGCTCTCTTCAGTGATCCAATCCTTGCAGAACAAGGGCAGCCATCGCAAGGACCCTGATCTCGTAGATAAAGATGATGACGGCCAAGAAAATGGGGAGAAAGAAAGAAGCGAAGATGCAGGAGATAGTTGGGAGGATGATTTTTGTCATGACATGCTTCTCTCTTCATGGGAGGCTAGTTTCGTCAAGTCTTTCAAAGAAATCGATGACGAGCTAAGCTTTGACTCCTCCATTGACAGCTTCTGCAGCGGCTCAACTGCAGTAACCATGGTTAAGCAGGTACGAAACAGAGACGCGATAGCTACGATGAAGAATACGAAGTAGTAGAAGAGTATTGACGAGCGTAATCGTCATATCCACTAATGTGCCATTCAAAATTTTCAGGGAGATCATCTTATTATTGCCAATTTGGGAGATTCCCGAGCTGTTCTGTGCACGAGAGGCCAGAAAAATCAGCTCGTTCCCATCCAACTCACTGTCGATCTGAAACCGAATATCAAAAGTGGGTTTTATTTCTTCGTTCATTCTCAAAGCAAGTAAATATCTCATCCTAACCTTGTGCAATTTTTCTCCCATTCAACAATCTGCTTAGGTGAAGCAGAGAGGATCAAGAAATGCAAAGGCAGAGTCTTTGCGATGGATGAAGAGCCGGAGGTGTTCAGAGTATGGTTACCTGAGGAGAATTGCCCCGGTCTTGCCATGGCTCGGGCTTTCGGAGATTTCTGCTTGAAAGATTATGGCCTGATATCCACCCCCGAAGTGTCCTATAGAAAGCTTACACAAGATGATGAATTCGTGGTTCTAGCCACTGATGGGGTAAGAGTAAAGAAATTCTATCTGTAGCAGTGTACAGATTATACTGCGCAATTGCATGATCACGTAGATTTCTAGATTACTGTTCTTGCTCTGATTGCAAATTACCTGTACATAGTGTCAAGACGATGTTATTGTTTATTATCATTGATACTAGACTCTTCTTTTCTTTTCCTTTCAGTGAGACACAGACCTCACTTTTTCCTTTCTTTTTCAAGGTGTGGGATGTGTTAAGCAATGCAGAGGTCGTGAGGATTGTTGCCTCCGCAAAGAAGAGATCCGTGGCTGCTAAACTATTGGTTGCTCACGCTGTTCTGGCATGGAGGACCAAGTACCCAGGATGTAAGATCGACGACTGTGCGGTCGTGTGCTTGTTCTTCAAGAATGATCGACCTCCGTGCCAATCCATAGCCGACACTTCGGGTGGCAACCCGGTCCGGCAAGAGAATGGAGTCGGTAAAAACTCCGGGTCCAATGAAAGCGAGGCAAACCCGGACACCGTGCTTGCTGCAATTGCAGAGGAGTCCTCTGTAGTCGACGAAGTGAGCAGGGTAGATTCTCTCATCAGAGTTGCTCGTAAAAGCGGTGATTTGAGTCAGCGGAGGGCGGTTAAGGAGCCCGAACACGTTGAAGTCCATTAGGTCTTGATGTTTGTTCTCATGGAAGCTTGAGAGGGTCGTCGAGTCCATAACCGAATGACGAAATTGCTAGGTTTGTAAACACGTGCAGAAGCGAAATCGTTTCGTCATGCAGAAGATCGATGCGTTCTTCATACAACAAGAGAACTCGAGGAGGTCAGGAAAATCAGCTGCTTCAGAAATGCACTAGTTTGGAAACTTTTAGGACAATTACAACACATCACAGGATTTTTTATTTGTTCTGTGCTTCTTCCATGTTCTGGTTACGCTGTGACTCCATGTTAATGTCTGGTCTGATGCTTCTGCTACTTTTGAAGACAGGAATAGTGGCTGATAATTCATGTTTCGCGTCGCGTCTGGATCTCGTTGAACATGTCCTATTAGACAGGTTACACACGAAGACGCGTTCATCGTGTATATTAAGTATCTATAGATAATCCAAGATTGAAAGGTGTATATACCATGTGCTTTATGCCAGTGAATCTAAATAGATTTCGATGATGAACTTGTAGCAATTTCAATGTTGCCAACATCTATTTCCATCATCAATCAAGAGAAATGATGGTCCATAAACTTTTTGACATGATATCCAAATGACATTACAATCGTGGATACTTGAGGATTCGAGACATGACATTGGAGAGGAACTTTCCCAAAAGAATGAAGAATTTCTCAACCTTGTGTTCAAATTGCAATCGAATTTCCTTTGAATCTTTTTAATTGGTGCAATTTTTTAAAGAAAATTAGGGAAGTGATGGCTGTAAGGGCTTGATTATATATGACATATAAGCTCTTCTGCTTCAACTACAATAAAGGTGTATTGCAGTTTCTCCTTCCCATAATTCAAACTACTAATAATGTATTTTATTATTTAGGGATAAGTGCATCAAAAGTCCTAAAAGGTGACTATTCAATAAATCTCTTTCTTTTTTTTTTCTCCTTTTTCGAAAAAGGAATGTTTTCCCAATTTATTTTTATGTTTGTTATTTATATCATTGAATCATCTCCCTTCAAGCCGGTCGTGTTCAAGGGAGTTCCCCTTTTAAGCCGAAGTTCAAGGGAACTAAATGTGGACCTTTACTAATCCAAGGGTCATTTACACGTTTTACCCATTACATCTAATTGCCCCTTCATAAAAAGATGGGAAAAAGCCATAAAAAAAATCTCTTATTATGTTTATTGTGATGAATTTATCTTGAATTTTTTTGTGACGTTTAAAATCCCAAACTATATCAATTTCGAACACGTTTACCCTAAACTTTTTATTGCGACATCAAAACTCCAAACTTGTACACGTGTGATACATTTACCCTCCATCAAGATTCTGCTGAATGATTTTTAAGCCACCTGGGCATCATATCAATTCCGTTTGCCTTCTGTCATCTAGGTAGGCAGAATTTTAATAGAGCTCATCGACGGAACCTTGGCAGATGATAAATGTGTTATCCATGTACAAGTTTAAGATTTTTTGGTATCACAAAAAAAGTTTGAGAGCAAATGTACTACATTGTGCACAATTTAGAATTTTTGGTGATTCTTTCCCTTTTTTTTTTTTAATTTATGTAGCAAGGGCAAAATGAGGGAGATAAAAGTGAGACAACATTAGGTTGGGTATAAACATATAAATACGTATAAATAGATAGATAGATAGGGAGGAAAATAGAAGAGAGCAAGAGAGACAAGAGAGTTAATTTTGTCTAAGAAGTTTCAAGCACATTAAGGGAAAAATGTTAAGAGATCCTCCGAATCACATGTTAAATTTCATTTATCATGTTTTGGGAACATAAAGTATTTATATTTCGAAACACCCGACTCTTTCGAAATATAAAAATCTTCCAATTTTCAAGGTGGGTCGAAGAAACCACCAACGTACGTGTTGGCCATGCAACGAGCCATGTCCCTCCCTCCCTTCCTTTCTCCTTCCTTCCTTCCCCTATTTCACCGCTTTGATTGTTACTTTCATTCTCGTTGTTAGACTCGCCCTAACTTTCATCAACAGAACTGAACAGAACAGAGAGAGAGAGAGGAATGGCTCAGGCAACACTCCCAGCCGCCGTCGACCTAAAGTCCCAGAGCTTCGAGCTGTCGAGCGGCCACGCCATCCTCGCCGTCGGGCTGGGCACTTGGAGATCGGGCTCCGGCACCTCCCCCGCCGTCCGCGCCGCCATCGTCGAGGTCGTAATTTCTGCAGATCGAGCTCGACCCATCCGATTGTTTCTCTCTTTTATTCTTGCTTTCCATTTGGTTTTGGATTTAACATGTGTTTTGGCCGGGATGAGATGAGTGCAGGCCGGTTACAGGCACGTAGACACCGCCTGGCAGTACAAAGTTCAAGAAGAGGTCTCTCTCTTTTGCTCCTCTATCTTGTGCATTCTCTCATTTTTCCACATTCCAAAACTGTGGTGGATATTCAAAGATATCTTTAGAATTTGGTTAAATTTATATTCCAAGTTCCGGATTTACCATCGTAATTTCTGGGAGACTACTAATTTTAGTGCTGAACTAGACTGATGCCCCTTCGATGCATAGATTTCATATAATTTTTCAATACCGAAACTTAGGCGATTGGTTTTTTATCTTTGTATTTTTTGGAAGGATTTGCACCTAGTTAAACATTTGAATGTATTGTCGTTCAAGTGTTAAGTGTAACCAATTCATTTAAATGAAAATAATACCTTATTAATTATAGTTAACATGTGTCCCGAAACACTCTTTAACAAGACCCTTTTTTGAAATATCAGTTTTTTCCTTTTGTGTTATATGTATTGGTTTGGTAGCGGTGACCTCCTAACTTTCATTTCCCGAATATCTTCGAGTCTTCAAGAAATGATTATCTTATTATGTGATGCTTACAACTTTCATGCAACAGTCATAGTTTTATTTATAAATGAAAATTAAATTAATTAGCTATATTACAATCAATTGATACCACTTGATCATTAATGCAATGTAATAAATAAACATATAGATCTGAAAGGGTTGGGGGGCTACAAAAGCCGGTGTTGATTAATGATTTTGGTAGCTTGCATGTTGCATTGACCTCTACAGCAATGTGTGTGTGTGTGTGTGTATATAAGATGGCCAAAAAGGAAAAGATAAGGAAGGAATCGAGATCCAAAACATGGATCAGAGCTCATATATAGCAAATTGTAACATTTTATTATTTAATTACTTCGCTTAACAATTTCTTAAACATTTTTAACAAATCTTTTCTCCAATTCATAATGAACGTTCTTGATGTCAAGGGAATTAAGAATGTCTCGCTGCTTTTTATCGTAGGTTGGGCATGGGCTCCAGTGCAATGCAAGCAGGAGTTGATAGGAAGGATCTCTTCATCACATCAAAACTTTGGCAAAGAGTAAAAATGATTTTCATATCATAAACTCCTAACTTTTCTTGTTTATTAGCACTAAATGTCCTATGCTTATCTACTGCAGTTGTGTTAAATGCATTTTGATATGCAGGTGCACCGAGTTGTCGCCGGACAGAGTTCGACCCTCATTGAACAACACCCTCCAAGAATTGCAGCTCGACTACCTCGACCTTTATCTGGTTATTGTCCATCTCCAACATGCTTTCAACACTTATTTCTTTGTTAGAGATCGAATTTGACCACCGGCGGGGGCGGCCTAGTTGGCCTCACGCTTATATTTCCCATCTACAAGTCACAGGTCGAACCTCGGTCTTATCAAGCAGCCTTGTGGCTTGGTTTGGTGAATGGGTGGTGGAGGGCTCTAGTGCTTCGGCTGTGTCACGTTGACAAGCTCGCCTACTTCGGTGGTGCTGAGTAGTGAAGGCTCATCATTGTTTAAAAATGAACATTTTGTAACGAGTATGAGACTTTTATGATAATGCTGAGCAGAGTAGTTAGATGGTCGTCCCTCACCATCATTTTCAGGGAGTTGACAAAATTTAGAGCTGAAGTTAAGCATGGGCTTGCTTATTTTGTAACTGACTTGTGGTATTGCAGATCCATTGGCCATTTCGCCTCAAGGACGGATCCAGCCGGCCTCCGGAGGCCAGCGAGGTTTTAGATTTCGACATGGAAGGTGTTTGGAGGAAAATGGAAAATCTTGTCAAGGACAATCTGGTTAGGGACATTAGGAGTCTGTAATTTCACCCTCAAGAAGCTCAATAAGGGTGCGCATGGAATGCATTCCGGAATAAAAATTCTATTCCGGAATGCATTCCGGAATAGAATGGCGTTTGTTAAAAAATTTCCGGAATGCATTCCGGAGGGATTTTTGTATTCTGGAATAAAAATGCGTTTGTTAAAAATACTTGATTCAAGAATGCATTCTTGATTCCGGAATGCATTTTTTATTCTAGAATGAGCTTTTGGCAAGAAAAAGAGAAGCTACTTTTTGTAGCTTCTTGATTCCGGAATGCATTCTCCCTATTTTCTCATAAATTTTTTTTTTCAGAAAATGCATAAAAATTGAAAAATTCTAGAAAAATTCATAAAAATTTCCAGAAAATAAAAAAAAGTCAGATTTCGGGAAAATATGAAATTTGGTGAATTTTTTTTAAAAAATAAAAAAAAAATCAAAAATTTCAAAACTTCACAGAATAGCTTAAAACACATGTGGCCACCCACTTTTAGTGAAATTTAAATTTTTTGAGGTGCCCAAAAAAAATCAAAAATTTCAAAACTTCACAAAATGGCTTAAAATACCTGTGGCCACCTACTTTGAGTGAAATTTAAATTTTTTGATGTGCCCAAAAAAAAGAAAAATAATAAAAAAATAAAAATTTTCAAAACTTCACAAAATAGCTTAAAATACCTGTGGCCACACACTTTGAGTGAAATTTAAATTTTTTGAGGTGCCCAAAAAAAATCAAAAATTTCAAAACTTCACAAAATGGCTTAAAATACCTGTGGCCACCTACTTTGAGTGAAATTTAAATTTTTTGATGTGCCCAAAAAAAATAAAAATAATAAAAAAATAAAAATTTTCAAAACTTCACAAAATAGCTTAAAATACCTGTGGCCACCCACTTTGAGTGAAATTTAAATTTTTTGAGGTGCCCAAAAAAATAAAAAAAATAAAAAATTTCAAAACTTCACAGAATGACTTAAAATATCTGTAGCCACCCACTTGGAGTAAAATTTAAATTTTTTGAGGTGCCCAAAAAAATAAAAAAATAAAATAATTCAAAACTTCACAAAATGGCTTAGAATACATGTGGCCACCCATTTTGAGTGAAATTTAAATTTTTTTAGGTGCCCAAAAAAAATTTAAAAAAATAAAAAATTTCAAAACTTTACAGAATGGCTTATAATACATGTGGCCACCCACTTTGAGTAAAATTTAAATTTTTTTAGGTGCAAAAAAAATCAATAAATCAAAACAGATTTCTGTTCCAGAAATCAATTTCTAGAGCAGAATTAGTCATGTTTTACCAAACAGATTTCTCCTTCAGAAATCAATTTCTGGCAAGAATTCCAGAAATCAATTTCTGGCAAGAATTTAATTTCTGGAGCAGAATGGTTACCATTCGCACCCTAAGTTGCTGGAATTTACTGAGACAATGCCCTCTGTTTGTCAGGTAAGAAGGGATCAATTAACCACCAATTCATTAATTAACTAATCAATCAATCACTTACTTGGATTGAGTTTGAAATTTGGATTAATGTCCATTTTAACGAATTTTTTTGGTTCAGATGGAGATGCATCCGGGATGGCGAAATGATAAGATGCTGGAGTTTTGCAAGAAAAACAGCATCCATGTTACTGTATGATTTCATAAATTTTTTCTCTCTTTTGGGATTCGCAGTTGTCATCTTTTACATGGTATTAGAAACGGAGATTTTGAATTCAATTACCTCTCTTAAATAATATTTTCACGCCTTGTCTTAAACTAAAGTCCGGCCTACGAGTAATTCAATCTAGAATTTTTAGCCGCTACATCACGACAAGCTAACAGCGAAAGAGAATCATCGTAGGCATACTCTCCGTTGGGCTCATCCGAAGGAGGCCGAGATCTGATCCACGACAAGACGGTGGAGAAAATAGCGAGGAAGCTGAACAAGAGCCCCGGGCAGGTGCTGGTGAAATGGGCCCTCCAGAGGGGCACGAGCGTCATCCCGAAGTCGACACACCCCGGCCGAATCAAAGAGAACGCGCACGTCTTCGGGTGGGAAATCCCGGAGCAAGATTTCCGAACGCTCTGCAGAATCCCCGATCAGGTAATGTCAATATCTTGCGCGAGCTTAATCTTATTGTCTAACGCGACAGACCGAGTCGATCATGACCCTAAAAAGTCATCTCGGGTTCGATCTGTTCATTGTGTGAGATGGCCCCACATCAATTTGGACATCATAATTTATTAATTTGTTGCTAAGTATGTCTCTTAATTTTTCTCCAAATCTATTTTCTCAAATGACTAATTAAGAATTGATGGCTTGGCATTGTGGGGGAGTACAGAGAAGAGTGCTTGATGGAGAAGAATTGTTTGTGAACAAGGAAGCAGGGCCATTCAGAAGCGTGGCTGATCTCTGGGATCATGAGGACTGATTCATCAGAAATGTGTGATTGCTGGCTTTGTTGGTCATCCTTCTTGTGTATTTAAGTCAGTCTCAGTGATTTTTGCTTTTGTTGATTAATAAATTAGTGATAAAATTGTTACTAATATCACGAGAATTTATTCTAATTCAAGACAATAATTATTGCTCATAATTATTGACAAATTTATCCTCCGTTAGTGTCCGTTTAATTGGATTAATATTACGAAAAACAACAAATTGGTAAACTTGTGAAAAACATAGGGGTAAAACCCCAAATTGATATGCCCATCAACTATCGCGTGTTATCAAACTTAGCATTTTGATAGTAAAATTTAACGGAAACTAATGAAAGGTAAATTTGTCACAAGCGTATTAATTTGGGATTTTTGGTGATAAAAAACAGGTGTACCAATGTGGGTTTTTTGGTGGTCAAAAAAATAGTTCGGTGTAAAATTATCACAAGTGTACTAGTTTGGGGTTTTTTTTGGTAAAAAAATAGTTTGGGGTAAATTTATCACAAATATACTAATTTGAGATTTTTTGTGGTATTAATCATTTATTCAAAACCCAAAACAAATTATTCAATTTTTTTTTTATCTCGGTGCCTTGTCCAATCAAACAACGTCAAAACAACCAAGTGCGGAGCTTGCGAATCTTGATGCACAACATTCCATTTCCACCTCATGACTTGCTTAATTTGAGCTCTCGTGCGATACTTTATAAATTCAATACCATCTCCATCATTAATTATATGAATTTCGTTACAAAATTCACATAATGGATAATCACTAATTAAAATGCGTCTTAATCTACATCATCTACTATAATTGTACTAGATGTATTTTTGAGAAAATAAAGCATATACTATAAGAGCATGAACGATAACCATTTTCTATTTTCCTGTTCCCAGGAACAGATTTGGAACAGCAATTCGTTTGGCAACGTAATTTCATTTTTTTTATTTTGGGACAAAATTTTAGCTCGGAAATAGATTTGGAATAGAAATAAAAAGTAGATTTTTTTTTACTTTTCTATTTTTGGAATAAAAATAGAAAATAAAAATTCTCTTTATTGCTTGCCGCCGCCCCCCCATCATGCCGATCACCGCCTGCCGCCGCCGCCGGCCGGGCATCTGCCGCTGGCCCGCCGAGAACAGGAATTTATGAATAATCTATCGAAAGAATTTTTTATTTTATTTCAGGAGCAGTCGTTATCAAACGCTGCCTCCGATCAGAAGCTACATCGAATGTGGGGACATGCTTTAATCGCTCTACTATTCTCTCACTTTCTCTCTCCGAACAGTGAACATGCATTCCTTAAACCCGCAACAGTCTCCGCCATTAGTACCCACCTTGATTCTCCGCTAAGTCTCCGTCGCCGCCTTCCAATCCGCCGCCCGAGCCGTCCGTGCATTGACCGGCTCCGCCGCGAAGGCCAAAAGGGCCGCCCGCCCGCCCGCCGCCGCCGCCGCCGCCGCCGCCATTCCCCGCTTCCCTCTCGCCGGGTACGCCCTCTCTCTCTCAATCTCTCTCTGTGTCGTTGAACTCGATAGGCGGCGTCGACGAGTTCGTCCTGCCCTTCATTTCTGTGTTGTTTCGGTTTTCGCGTTATCGGTCTCGGTGCCGGAGTTCGTTCCGCGAGCTCTACTGCTGTAAAGTTTCGATTTTTTTGTCGCTCTGTTTTTTGGGTCGAGGAGAATTCGCTGTGCTTTGGCTCTGCGGATTGGCCGTTCTCATGTGCCGTCATCGCGTGTGCGATTTCCGTTTGATTCGAGCTCTGAATTCTTCTCGTTTGCCGCGTTTCTGCCCGACATCAATCTCTGTTCACCGTGAATTCTTGATGGAACTGACATTGGAACATCGCTAGTCTGGTTGAATTTGAATGTGTCGGGAGTGTTCATTCAGTGTATTTACGGTGTACAGTGAAATTGTGTGTGTGTGTGTGTAGGAATAGGATTGAGGGCCATCATGTGCTTGAGTGTTGTGCTCGGTGGATGTGTTTTTTGCAATCATGAAGTTGATCATTTGACAGCAGTGCTGTGGTCTGTCGTGTGTGTGAGGCTTGTGCTTTGTGCACATGGGCGGTGAACACTGAAAATCGTTGAGTTATTAGAATTGAGCTTTATTCTCTGTCTTTCTATCGTTGCCCATCGGTGGGTGCTCAAGTGCAGATATGCGCGCATGGTGTCTCACGTCGTTTTACGCATGCACCTTCATTCAGGGTGTTTCCTTTCTTCTAATGCCTTGAATGGCATCTGTAGTTTTGCAATCCTGTGGTTGTCTCTGTCTCGAGATGACCGATTAGACGTTTGCCGTCAAGCTTGGTTCCTTTGCATACAATAGAATGTGCTTCTGAATGGGTTGGCTTGGCTTATTTAGATCTTCACCTTCTACTTCATCCAATGAAGAGGGGCAATCTCAAAGTGCAAATACTGGTTTTTTTTTTTTTTGGTTACATGATATATATTCAATAGAAATTTCTAACAGGATGGGGACAGTAAAGAATAGGGACACCTACCTTGGAAACACATCTTTTTCTCCAATTATCCCAACTGGTGTTTTAGCTCACAGAAACTTGGGGAAGAATAATCTTGGTGGTGTAATCTTTGGTTGCAAGGACAACACTATGAAGGAATGCCTATCCAAACAACTATTTGGTAAGTCATTGGTGGTTCATATTTGATTTATCGGCACTGCAGTTAACTTTCAACGGTTTATTTTTATATATCATTTGGTTAAGGTAGTAGAATTGTTGAACACGTACAGCGGAGTTTATTCTTCTTCTATTTCCTTCATTCATTGTCACTGCATGCTATCTTGTTTTAATTTGCACTAGTTTTGTTTAAAGTATGAAAACTTATGAGAGTCATTATTAACAGGCTTGCCATCTTCACACATTGCTTATGTCAACCATATTGAACCTGGCTTGCCACTATTTTTATTCAACTACTCAGACAGAAAACTTCATGGAATTTTTGAGGCTGCAAGCCGTGGTCAGATGAATATCGATCCTTATTGTTGGAGCACTGATGTTTTAGAGAAGACTCCATATCCAGCACAGGTATCTCTTATCTATTTTTCCAACACGTTATGTATTGTCTCTTAGTTTTCATTACCAAATGTATGATTATGAGTTGATTGGTTGTCCAATAAGGTTCAAATTCGTATCAGGATGCAATGCCAACCGCTGCCGGAAGATCAGTTCAAGCGAATAATTGCGGACAACTACCATACATGCAACCATTTTTGGTTTGAATTGGACCATGCTCAAACAAGTAAATTGATATCCCTATTTGCATCTTTAGCGATCGCTCCATCAGTTCCCCAGTATATAGTCCAGAAGAGAACAATTTCACAACCTCTTCTCTCTGAGGAAACAAGAGGAGAATGGGAAAAAATGAAGCCTTTTACTTCAATGGAAGAAAAACTCGAGCACTCAAGTGGGAGATCTGATTCTGCAGATCCTTCACTTGCTATTGAAGTAGATGATCAGCTATTTGAAGGTTGTGCAAGTATGAAGCTAGATGGAGGAGATGAGAGGGATTCAATAATTGCGCAACTGAAAGAATTGGCTCTTAGCCGGGAATATAATGATTTACATTCGAATCATTGTTCAGAAGGTAGTTCTAGCACTGAGGGCATAAAATCCGAAGAAAACAGCTTTGTCGAGGCACCTGTGGACCTAGAAGAGAAGAAATTACAGGATTTTCATTCCTCTGTGGACCTAGAAGAGAAGAAATTACAGGATATTCATTCCTCTTCTGATTATCATCTTATCATTCCCCAGGTAGTTTGGAGTGAGGCATCTCAAGCAAAAATAATTAGTAATCTTCCTTCTGCTCATGCTCCCTGAACATTCTGTATGATCCCTCTCTTTGTGTAGTTGATTCGAGAATTGGGAGAGCTCAAGGACTTTAAGATGGAACAAACTCAAAAGATGATTGATTTGGAGCAGAAGCTGGTACTATGAAGCTTCGTTCATACTTTGGTCCTTTGTGTTTCATTTGTTAGCTCTAAGCTTAGAATCGCTTATTGATTTGTGTTTTGGGGATTCTTCTGCCATCAGGTTTGAAAGGGTTGACTATTTTATTGGATTTTAAGTATCACATATACTCTTATATGGCCCAGTGCTACAATTGTTGCACGTAAAACCTTTCGGATTTAGGCAATGTTTTTTACTGACATATTAAGTCATTGGAGACACAGAGTTAAAAGGCAAACTACAAACATTGTCAGGGTATAATTTGTTGCATCTATGCCTTTCTTTGTGCTGCTTTTAAAGGTCATACTCAAAAGGAACTTTTGTCCCTTAAAGGGAAATATGAGGAAAACCCTCTCTAATTCCTTGGGGAAGGAAAATATAGGTTACGTTGAGTTTCACATGGTTAGCTGTAAACTCTATGTTGAGTAATGACATCTCCTGCTAGGTTACCATTATGGTTATACGAGAGAGTATTCTTGTCTTGCTCTAGCTCAGGGACAGAATTAGGATTTTTTCTGCCTTTTATACTGGTGTTCCTTTTGAAGACGGCCTTGGGTGATTTTTTTTGAGGCAGTCTTAGTTTTACTGAGTCTGTTGTGCACAAAACATATGCAGTTTTCCTATGTTTTCTTTGTTGGCTCACATTGTTGTGAAGTTTCTTTTTCTTATTTCTACATGTTTTGTTGCATCATTCACTGTATTTTTGGTTCAGGTTTGGGCAGAAAACGAAATTTGTTATCTGAGAGATCACTGTAATTTGTTGGATTCTTTGTTGAAATCTTCATCGCATGATGCTGTTCCTGAGGAAATCCAATCTTCTGAGGAACTGGATCTTGATCTTAAGGATTCCATCATTATTGTTGGAGGATACGATGGTTCATCATGGTTATCTGCAGTATATTCCTATTTCCCTTCTCACAATGTAGTAAAATCTCTTGCGCCGATGAACTTTGTCCGTGCATATGCATCTGTTGCAAAGTTTAAAGAAGAGCTCTTTGTGTTTGGCGGTGGAGATGGGGAATCCTGGCATGATGCAGGTATTAGAATTGCCATCTTTCGAATCTCCATTGCCATTGTAATCCTATTATCCTAATGTGATAACTATCCTTCTGCACAGTCGAATCATACAGTTTGGCTGAAAATAAGTGGACCGTTCAACCATCATTGAATGCTAAAAAAGGAAGTTTGGCTGGAGCAGTGGTAAGGGAAAAAATCTTTGCTCTTGGAGGTGGGAATGGACACGATTGCTTTTCAGATGTTGAGATGCTTGACTTTGACATCGGCAAGTGGATCTGCGCACGGTCAATGCTACAAAAGGTATAGTACATAGCTTGCGTGTGCTTTTAAAGTTGTCTGGTGAAGCTACAAACGACTGAGTTTTGAATGTGATTAATGAGTCAAAGAGTGTTATTGGCAGAGTGCTCTCAGTGGAGTACATATTTTTCCTTGTAGTAAAAAGTTATAATGCAAAATGTCCATATGTATAGGTACTTCAAATGAGAGAGAGAGAGAGGGAGGGAGGGACCTTCATTATAGTTAGGCAAAATGTGAAGAATTGAATTGCTTATTAGTCATTGTTTTATGGTTGCTTTGTAGTTCAGACGTTCCAGTCATATGAGGATCTTGGGAAAAAGTATGTACTGTCTACATCTGCCTCTGTCATACTTGGAGTTCTAAACCTGAGTGATATTGTTGACAAGAAAAAATTGGCACTTATAAAATTCATTTGTTTTTGTTGTGTTTCCTTTAAAGTCCGCTGGTCATTTTGGGAGGGAGGGAGGGAGAGACCTTCATTATAGTTGGGCAAAATGTGAAGAATCGAATTGCTTATTAGTCGTTGTTTTATGGTTGCTTTATGGTTCAGACGCTCCAGTCATATGAGGATCTTGTGAAAAATTATGTACTCTCTACATCTGCCTCTGTCATACTTGGAGTTCTAAACCCAAGTGACACTGTTGACAACAAAGAATTGCCATTTTATAAAACTCATTTGTTTTTGTTGTGTTTCCTTTTAAGTCCTCCGGTCATTTTGCTTCGGCATTGGGGTTACATTGACTTCTTGAAGTAGCAAATGCATGCTTAGCATAGTTTCTTGATTAACATTGTTCTCTATATAATACTTTACATGGATCGTGAAGCTTTTGAATTTATTCATGTTTTTACTATGATACAAAGGAAATAAGGTGACATATATATCGAGAAAATTACCAAATCAGTTATATACCTATTGGAAGCCAATTCAGTCCTCATCCTTTCAATTTGCAAATATAGTCCTAAATCTTTTTGTGATATGTCAATATAGTCATTCAGGCCAATTTTCACTCGAAAATGTTGTGTTGGCGGTCAATCATCGCTGGCTGTCCTACATGGTACGTCTGCAAGGACTATATTTGCAAAATTGAAAGGATTATGACTGAATTGACATCCATATAATAGGTATAGGACTGATTTGGTAATTTTTCTGATATATATGTCAACTTATTTTGAGGGTTCAGTACGGTAAGGTAGTGCAGTGTTTTGATTTTTAACATTGACCCTGGTATGAGTCTGTGTAATCTAAGTAAGTTGTTTGTAACGAATTCACTGCATGTGCTTACTGATTATTTGTTTCTAGTCGTGAAGGGACAACTGGTACTTTAATAGGATTCCCATCACTAATGAAAAGGCAGGAGTTTGAACACGAATTTACCCTAACAAATCTCTTCTCCGGCCATCTTCTTGTTTCTTATAGGAAAATGAACTTCCTTTTCCTCTCTTTACTATTAAGCATTAATTAACTTCTCACATGCCCTTTTTACTTCCGTGTTTTAATTTGCTTCACTTGATAATTGCGTTTTGGGCATGCTTCTCCTTTTCTCCCAGCGATTTGCTCTTGCTGCAGTGGAGCTTAATGGGGCAATATATGCTACTGGTGGCTATGATGGCAATAATTATCTTAAGTAAGAGATGGATTGTTTGTCATCCTTTTATCTTGTGATTTGAAGTGCTCGATCGTTCTTGTGACTCTCGTCTTTTGACTGACTGTTATCCTTTTTTCTGATAAATCCGAATACATAAGTTGATTTACTTTTATGGGGGGCATTCTTGTCAACTGCTGTGCAAACTGTGAAAGTATCTGGCATGTGATTGACCCATCATATTTTCTTGCAGCTGATGGAAAATGGCAGTGTCATTCCTCATATGAACACTGAAGTGCTTTTGCAATTTTACCCTAAGAAACCTTTACTGGTGAACTGCAAGTTATTGTTTTGTCCATATCTTTTATATATCCAGAAATTCAAAAATACCCTTGTAGACCTAATACTCCTCACAATAAATGAGAATAATCTATATAGTTCTTGAATGGCATATGAAATCTTTTACATCAGAGTTAGCTACAGCAGAGAGTTGGTAATTTTTTCTCTACTGAATTATCTCAGTTCGGCTGAAAGATTTGACCCAAGAGAACATTCTTGGTCCAAAATTGGAAGCTTGACCACAAAGAGGGGCTGCCATTCACTGGTCTCACTGAATGAAAAACTGTACGTATACCTATATGTTCTTTTTGATGCCAGCTGTTCAATTTTATTTTATGATATTTGCATATAGATCCTGGAAAAGCATGTCATATTTTTCCTTGAAGTGGACATGGTACTGTTTCACATCTGTGCTTCTTGTGTATTATGTAGTTTCTCACAACCTAAGTCTAATAAAACAAATTCCTTGCAGTCTCCCTTCTGCTTCTGCATTGTTTCAACTGTAAATTAAGTAGAGCTACCTGTACTCTGCTCAACTTTGAGTGTTAGTTTTCACGAGCATTGTAAGTGTCTTATCTATACACCTTCAATAGATATGCCTTGGGTGGTTTCGATGGAAATTCAATGGTTGCGAGTGTTGAAGTGTATGATCCGCGCCTGGATTGTTGGATGGCCGGGGAACTGATGAATTGCGCTAGAGGGTATTCTGCTGCTGCCGTCCTTTGTGAGTCGATATATGTGATTGGAGGTGTAAAAGCTGATGAAGGCATCGTAGACATAGTGAGTTTTTTGCCCCCCCCCTCCATTTTGTACGTCATGATTCATGTATAATTTTCAGCCAGACATTGGATTCACTCTGAGTCCTCAAAATCTGTCAACCAAACTGCTTATCCGGATTGCTTCCGGAGCGTCGTTTAACTTAAGTCTCAACTGGTATCGTCACAGGTTGAATGTTTCAAGGAGGGCCAGAGTTGGTGCAAAACGTCTGTTAGAGGCATTGGGCAAAGGTGTTTCTTGTCTGCCATTGTCCCGTGAGAGAAGCTGCTTTTATCAGAAATGTTTCTGTATTTTTTGACAGTTGTTGCAGATATCTTTTGACGCATGAAGTTGATCGGTGTTTGAGAGAAACGTTCTGTTTATAGTTCAAAACTAGCGGGGAACAGAGAAAGTTGCATCGGAATGTACAGATGAACTCGAGCTTGCTAATATCACGAGGGGCATTCTTTTGTTTTGTTGCACTTGCACTCTTAGTTAAAAACAATGCTTATAATTCTGTCAAATTACTCTTTCGTAAATTTTGACCGCCATTGATATGAATCTCCTGTCGCGAATAATCAAGAGTTGTATATTCCAACTTCATATACTCTCTCCAAGCCTCATTGATCATGGCTCAGGTTATCCCACTGCATGTGTGGAGAATTTTAATTTCATGGAAGTAGTTTCTCATGTCATGCCCACGTTAGACTTTGCATCATGCTATCTTACATATTCTTTACATGAAATTCCTATGCACACAATTCCCATCTTAGAATAATTGGAACTTCCCATGAATATATGTTTCCATGCACATCTAGGATGTTTAGGTTTTATTATCGATTGATTTCATTTTATTGCTTGCCCCCTTATGTGTGGCCATGTAGATTTGCATGTTTAGGGATGAAAATCAGAAACCATTGCATGAAAGAGGAAAGGTACGGATAACGGTTTCTATGTAAAACTTGCGTAACTAATAAGTGTGCGTACCCACGAATTTCTAGTTCACTGAAGTAATTGTGAACTCTTTTTATCCTCTTTGGGCTCTGATCGATCTATGATTGATTAGTGAGGACTCTTATAGAAAAAAATAAAAGAAACAATAAATTTCCATAATCAATCGAGTATAATTAACGTTACGATCGATGGGGCTTGGGAGAGCCCGTTTCAAGCGCAAGCGCCTATCTCGCGAGAGGAATTTGCTCAGTAATCTGTCCAAACACCTCGGTGATTTCATTCACATTACGATCCATGTTGCAACATGGAGTATTGGAATATTTAAATATTAACACGGTTCATATGGTGGTTTAATTTTTTATAGATCCTGCAAAATCTCACCGAGTGTACGGTCCTTGAATCTCCTACCGTCTAGTCATCCTCCAATGAAAAATTGATATCAAAAGAAAATTTAAGAGAGCATTCTTTTGACCCAAAAGAGAATTCTTGCTAGCTTTCATCATTCCTTCATAATAAACATCCCATAGACGCACTTAGTAGAAAGAAATCTCAAAAACCATGATGAGCATTTGAGTAGGGGCTAAATTAGGCATACTTTAGAATTTTGCATAGAATATGACTTGGTGCTTGCGGGTCTTGCACTGCAAAACTTGGTCCAGCCCCACTCAAGTGCGTACATCTTGGTACTACGACTTTCGTTAACATGTTATCTATTGCTTTGCTTATAGCAGGGGGCAAAGCCAAACACTTCTTGATTATCATTTCCGCTGTTTACTCGTTCTATTATTGATTGACTTCATCTTATTGCTTGCACCCTTATGTGTGGCCATGTAGATTTGCATGTTTAGGGATGAAAATCAGAAACGATTGCATGAAACACCCTTATCAAAGGAGGAAAGGTACCGATAACGGGCTATATGTAAAACTTACGTAACCAAGTGTCCGTATCCACGAATTTCTAGTTCACGAAAGTAACCGTGAACTCTTTTATCTTATTTGGGCTTTAATCAACCTGTAATTGATTAGTGGCAACTCTTCAAGCAAAAATAATGTCATAATCCATCAAGTATAATTAACGTTGCGACTGATAGGGCTTGGGAGAGCCCGTGTCAAGCGCAAGCACCCACGTCGCGAGAGGAATTTGCTCGGTGATCCGTCCAAACACCTCGGGGATTTCATTGGTCGCGACATGAAATATTATAATATTTAAATATTAAATCACGCATTCATATGACGGTTTAATCTTTTAGAGCAGTTGACGTTGATCCCGCAAAGTCTCACCGTATGTACGGTCCTTAATTCTTCTACCGTCTATTCATCCACCAATGAACAATTGGTATCAACAGAAAATTTAAGAGAGCGTTCTTCTGACCCAAAAGAGATATTCACTGAATCGATGGATATTGTTGCACGTCTTACTTTTCTTGCTTGCTAATGTTCATCATTCCTTCATAATAAAATATGCCATAGACGCACTTTGTAGAAAGAAATTTCAAAACCCATGATAAGCATTTGAGTAAGTGGCCGAATTAGACATACTTTAGAATCCTGCATTTATGCAAAGGAAAATGCAACCAGATAATTATAGGAAGACCCAAGTCGTCGCATAGAATATGACTTGGTGCTCGCGGGTCTTGCACTGCAAAGCTTGGTCCAGCCCAACCAAAGTGCGTACATCTTGGTGCTACGACTTTCTTTTACTTTTGTCTATTGCTTGGCTCATAGCAGGGGGCAAAGCCAAGCACTTGCTCTGTTTCATAAGTATAGACCCAAGTCGAAGTAAGCCTCATGAAACGGATTAATTCTAAAATCCAGAGTGCCACATAATATGAGAGAAAGTCGGTAATGTCATTTATACACCCTTGAATCGTCACCAAATGAGTACTCCATTTGAGGGCTTGATTCTTGTTGTCTTGGGCTAAAGGACCACATTAACTATTCGATGTACTCGTAAGCAAGACCGGAGAACTGCCGTATTCGCGAGGACTGAAAAACGGATTTCAACCAATATGAAACACAAGAACTCATCATTCTCGACGATGTCGTCGCCTTATTAAATAAGCGAGAAAAGCCATTTCTATCTAGTCAAGACGCACGACACAAATATAGAGCACAATGGGAACAAGAGACTTGAAATACCAGACTTTTGCGCGTCTTGATTGCAAAGTTTTCTGCAGTTGTCACTAGTGGTGTCGCTAGAGAACCACCATGGGCACACATGTTGGTCAGATCAACATTCGATGACGAATCCGACGAAAGACATTTCTCTTTCTTCCGACTAGGGAAGCTTCATCACACATAGAAACTTACATTTTCTGGTGAAATCCAACTTTAAATCAGAGCCAAGTTCCTCAATTTCTTCATATCGCTCTTTTTAAGTTTAACTTTAGTTTATTTGTGAGGTTCTTGCTAATTTTATCCCTTAGTTTTCAAGTTTATGCAGTGATGTATACCCAATCCAATTTGCACATATTCTATTTCTAACCTTATCCGATATTGCTCGATGATGGTATATAATCATAAACTCTTGGATTTTCATCTTGCTAATAAATTGAAAAGTGTGATTTTGAAATCGTCTTATTGCCTCATCAATTATTTAAAGGCATACGCATATTGCCAATGTAAGCCTCGACTCCATCATTCCCCTCAATGGTGATGAAAAGCAACCGTGCAGGACCATCTTTGAATTACTCCCATCAGTCCAAGCTAAAAAATTTTAAAGAGATGATATCGACTTTGACTTTTTGGTAGACGGTCCACTTGGAGTCAAGTCATCGGGATGCTGCTGGATTTCTTTACGCTACTAGTTATGGTTACGTTTATTGTGATGGTAAATGAAATTATTAACACGTGATATACAAGGTACACCCACGATATATTTGGTTACATTCATTATTATTCCTTTCCTTGCTCTCTATAAATGCCATTTGTCTACTCTGGACAACCCACTCCAACCAATTTCTCAAAGTTCAAGCAAATGCACCCAAGCCAAAAACCTTGAAGCCTAATCGAGTGGCTTTCTTGTGCAATATAGCTTTTGTTTTCATTTTCTTCATCATTCATGGCGAGACATGATAGTGTGAAAATGCTTGTATTAGTAAGTCTGTTGTTAATTTTAGACAATGCATGTGTATGTCTGTGCAAAAACAGAAGCTCATCCTCCATTTGCTTTGAAGAAGAAAGGGATGCTCTAATCCAGTTCAGACAAAATCTCTCTGATACATCTCACCTCCTTTCCCCTTGGAACGGCGAAGATTGTTGCCGATGGACCGGAGTAAAGTGCGACCAAGTAAATGGACATGTCGTCATGCTCCAGATCACATCAGGAACTGATTTCCCAGTGATTTCTTTCACAGCTAGTGATCTGAACTCTTCTTTGCTCAACTTGAGATACTTGAGCTACCTAGAGTTGAGCGGGATCTATTTCGAAAATGCACACACATTAAAATTCATTGGATCGATGAAACAGTTGAGGTACCTTAACTTTTCCAGCTCTTTTGGTTTTTCTATTCCACGTGAATGGGGGAATCTCACCAAATTGGAAGTCCTCGATCTCCATACTTATTATAACATGGGTGTTGTTGAAGACATTCTGTGGGTTTCGCATCTTCAGGCATTAAAGTACCTTGACATGAGCGGATTGAATATTACCGGATCTAGAGACCAGATGCAGGTGATTAGCAAACTCCCATCTTTATTACATTTGAGCCTATCAAATTGCGGGATTTATGAAGTTCACCTGCCTACTTCTCTTCATCTTCAATACCTCGATCTTTCAGACAATTTTTTCAGACGTCTCATCCTGAGCACTATATTTCAAAACATGACTTCTCTCCGGCACCTTGATTTTTCAGGGACTTCTTTCAAAGGTCCCATCCCAAGCACTATATTTCAAAACATGACTTCTCTCAGGCACCTTGATCTTTCATGGAGTTCTTTTGAAGGTCCCATCCCAATCACTATATTTCAAAACGTGACTTCTCTTCGGCACCTTGATCTTTCAGGGAACTCTTTCAAAGGTCCCATCCCAAGCACTATATTTCAAAATATGATTTCTCTCAAGCACCTTGATCTTTCTTGGAATTTTTTCAACTCTTCAGTACCAAGGTGCTTTGATAACTTGAGAAGTCTTGTCGATCTCGATCTTACACACAATCTTTTGCAAAGCATTGAAGGAGGGTTGTTCTCTTTGTTAAGGAACCAACCATTCCTCCGGTCACTATTGCTGGGCCATAACGAACTTCATGAGGAGATATTTTCAGTTGAGGGAAATTCTTCGGGGCGTATCGGGAAAAACTTGGAGCGATTGGAGATATATAATAATTTTCTTGGGGGAGCTTTGCCAAATTGGCTGGGGCACTTGAAAAACCTGACAGTACTTGACCTATCACATAATCAATTAACAGGGGATATTCCAGAGGCATTAGGAAGATTGCAAGTCTTGTTGTCTTTAGATCTCAGTAACAATCTTCTAAATGGCACCATTCCGCATAGTCTCGGACAACTTCAAGATCTTCACTATTTAGATCTTTCAGCAAATTCCTTGAGAGGAACACTTTCCGAAATCCACTTCTCCAACCTCTCGAAGCTGTCGTACTTAAATATCAGCAAAAACTATTTAGCTTTCGAGGTGGATTCCAACTGGATACCGCCCTTCAATCTCTGGTACATTGGGATGACGTCCTGCGAGTTCGGAACGGAATTTCCGCGATGGATAAGAACGCAAGTCAAGGCAACAAAGATAGATCTGTCCAATGCCTCCATCACAGGAACTCTCCCAGATTGGCTAGGTCTCATGTCATTCAACTTCCTGGATCTCTCTTACAACCAAATAAATGGAACTCTGCCGAAATTTCCTACCGAATTGTATTTGCTAGATCTCTCTCACAACTTCATCTCAGGAACTATTCCGCAAGATATTGGCCTAGCGATGCCTAATTTGGAATCCCTGTATCTGAATGATAATCTCTTGAGTGGTCCAATACCGACCTCATTATGCGAGATGGAACTGGAAGTGTTGCACCTTGGAAGGAATGAATTAGTTGGCAAAATTCCTGCATGTTGGAAGGAGAATTTTATGAGTCTCCTTGATTTATCATCCAACAAATTGTCTGGAGTCATACCGAGTTCTTTGGGAAATTTGTTTGGGCTTGGGTCATTACACTTGAACAACAACAGTCTCCATGGAGAAATTCCTGTGACTATGAAAAATTGTACAAGCTTGCTTATTTTGGATCTTGGCGAGAACAAAATCTCTGGAAGTGTTCCACATTGGTTAGGACGAAGCTTTCAGTTTCTACAGATTCTTAGACTGCGAGATAACATGTTCAATGGCAGTATTCCTCCACAGCTATGCTTCCTCTCCGCGCTGCAAATATTGGACCTAGCAATGAATAATCTAACAGGAATAATTCCAAATTGTCTTGGCTATATGAACGGTATGAAACTGAACAAAAGCATAGATGATGGCAACTTAGTCTCCCCTCCTGCACCTTCCGCGCTTGTGGTCTCCCCTGCAGCTGCCGTGCTTTCGCCGATGTCTCCAACGGATTGGACTCAAGAGCATGTGAAGCAGGTCACGAAGGGAATAGACCTTGACTACACAACACTTGTTCTACAGCTTATGGTCAATTTGGATCTCTCAAGCAACAAATTGACTGGGCCAATCCCCGAAGAGCTTACCTTGCTCTCCAAATTGCGAGGCCTGAACTTATCCGGCAACTTTCTTTCTGGAGGCATCCCGTCTAGGATTGGATACATGATATCACTCGAGTCACTTGATCTTTCGAATAATCACCTTTCAGGAACAATCCCACAAAGCTTTTCTGTATTTACATCACTGAGCAAACTAAACTTGTCGCACAACAACTTCACGGGTCCAATTCCCAAAGGAAATCAAATCCAGACCCTTGTTGATCCTTCCATTTATGCCGACAATCCTCTACTTTGTGGCGATCCTCTACTAAAGAAATGCCCCGTTACAGAAGCCCCTCAAGCGCCAGAAGAAGACACCGATGAGGAAAGTAAGATTCAAAAGGTGATGTTCTGCGTTGTCATAATGCTCGGGTTTGCGACTGGATTTTGGGGAGTTATTGGAGTTTTGGTGTACAAGAAGAATTGGAGACGCGTCTACTTCGACTATGTGGATCGTAAAACAGACATGGTCTACGTGATTGTTGTAGTGAAGGCAGCCGAGTTGAGGAGGAGATTGAGAAGAGCATAACAGGCCCGTTCTCAACATCAATCAGTCAAATCCTTCATTGATCTGGAGAAGTTCTTGCTTTCTTGTTTAGGCAGAATCATCTTTGTAGTTGGCTTGTTTTTCCTTATGAGTGGTAGCCAATATTTTGTTTTCTTCAGTTTCAAGCTTGTTCGAACAAGCCGTCAATAAAACGGCATGGTAAGTGCAAATCATGTCTTTTTGTGATTTAGTGTTGCTCAGCTCTTTAGCGGTACTTCGTGTTATTGTACTCATTATATCATTTTGCTTGTCAATGATGTAAAACTCTGTTAGCAATTCCATTCCATCCTGTTTATGCTTTTGCTGATAATTGCATGTTTAGGGTACATCCCAGGTTATGTTTCCTTTCTCAATCTTGAGACATCAAAAAAAAAAAAAAACGTGCATGTCAACAGAATCACAATGAAGGACTCGTGAAAAGCGTAGAAAAGATCCTACCCAAGGAGAGTACATAGATTGAATCAGTCAGCTGATAATACAGGGGCTATTAAACCAGTGAATTACTCGACTTATTAACATTGACAGATCAGGGTCCAATCATGGGAAAATCGAAATTCGATCATTGATAGATTTTTGGAGTTGCTGGTAATTACCAATTCCGATCCATTGGTGAAAAAATATGACCCGGTAACTTGCTTGTCATGTAAGTAAGTCCCCAACATTATCATGAGTTGCTGGTTGATTTTATTTATAAGGGAAAATCAAACTCGGGAAAATTTAGGCCCGCCTCGCTCTCAGACGAAACTCAATTGAGAATTTATGGAAGTGTTAGAATTTGGTCTACATTATGGGTGCCATGTTTAAATAGTGATATAACTAGTGTATAGATTATAGTATGGAGGTTGAGATATTTTTAGTGTATCTGTTGATTAGTTTTATCCTGTCAACTCGTTATATGATATAACTTTTGACCAAAAGTAACGATTTTTCCATGATTACAGACTAAATAATCCAATTTCATTATTATACTCAAATCAATGGTTTACTTCTTTCAAACTCATGAATAACGCATTATCACTAGAGCGCGAATGATAACTATTATGTTCCAGAAATTAATTTCTAGCCCAAAATATATTTTTCTATTTCTATTCCCCGGACTAGTTTCTGAGCTAAAATACGTGTTTGATAACAAAACAAAATTTCTGCTCATGAAATGGAAATTCGTTTGATAATGACACAAAATTTCTCCCTGCTGAACAGCCGGCCCCGAGAGGCGAGCGGTGGCAGGAGGTGAGCGGCGGCGGCGGACAGCAGATGGCGATGGGAGGCGGTCGGCAGGCAGCGGCCGACTGTAGGAGGCGGTCAGTAGGCAGGCGGCAAACGGCGGTGAGAGGAGGCTAGCAAACAAGCAGCGGACAGCGGTGGGAGGCGGCCGACGGTGGACGGTGGCAGGAGGCGGCCGGCATTTGGCGGTGGATGGCGGCGAGAAGCGGGTGGCAGGCAGTGGCAGAGGATGATAGACGACGGATAGCAGCGGGAGGTGGCCGGTGACAGGAGGCAAGAGGCAGCCGGCGGACGACGGGTGGGCGGCCGACTAGTAATGAGGGCGAGCGATGAGAAGAGTTTTATTTCTCATTTTTGTTCCAGAAATAGAAAAGTCGAAAATCTTTATTTCTCATTTCTGTTACAAACCTATTTCTGAAATCAAAATTTGTTTCGGAAATAAAAAAATGAAATTGCGTTACCAAATGGATTTCTGTTCTGGGAAATAGAAAAATAGAAAAACAGAATACTTATCATGTGCGCCCTAAGAAGCCCATGTTCTAAAATTGAATAGTAGTATCTTATGGTTTTTCTTTTTTCCCTAGAGGCCAATTTGCTCTTCCTGGATAGCACCGTTCCGGACTTATGACTTGCTCTAACTTCTTACGGTTTACACTGGTTTACTTTTTTTTTTTTTTTGTCTTCCCCTCTATAGTTTCTCTTGAAAAGCCCAACTTATTTCCTTTTCATTCGATCTTAGGCATGGACAATCACACATTCTTACATAAATGGCTCGAAATCTTTCCGAAATTTCAAATACAGATAATTTTATGTTGCCAGAGAGAGCTATGCAGGCGTGCATGCTGTGTGGCAATGCAACTGTATAATGTAATTTTAGGTCACTCAAGAGTTCATATAATAAGCACCTACTACAACACTCTAGACAGGTATTGTTCATGATACAAAAACTTCGCTCAAATCAGGGGCATGGGAAATTTCTGGAGAATAATAAATCATGCGGTTTGGCTTATGCAGTGCCCTGGTTCGAAAGAACTACTAGAAAAGCGACAGACCTTCGTCTGTGTCGCCAATTCTTAAAGAACTCAAAGAGGCCCATTCGCGGATTTGGAAATATGGGTGAGGTGTATTAGATTTAGAAACAATAAAAGAGAAAAGCAAGCCAATGCATTAAATCTCGAGCCTGCAACATTTGATTAATCTGAGATATGCTCGTGATTGTGTTGAATTGGTAGGATCAGTGCATAAACATTCATTGATGAAAATGAATATTATCTTCTAATTCATGATTGAGATGCCTTTTTCTATTTTAGACATCAGTACTACCGAGTATCTGTTTTTCACGGATCATTGTTTTTTTTTGCCTTTTGAGCAGTGGGACTACAGTCTACAGATATAGCCATTCCTTTGTTGATGACTTGGCGCAACATTGGAGCACTTAAGCTCAAAGTACGGGATAAATGTACCCCTGGAACAATAATAATCTGGCAAGCGAAATTACAAATGAAGTTAAAGAAAACTTTCATTCACTACTTCACAGTAGACATGGTGAGTTTTTTTGCCCTTCCTCTGTTTTGTACGTCATGATTCATCTGTAATTTTCAGCCAGACAATCGACTCACTGTGAGTCGTCATAATCTGTCAACCAGACTGCTCATCCGTGTTGTTTCTGGAGCATCGTTCGACATACTTCTCTACTGATATCGTCACAGGTTGAATGTTACAAGGAGGGCCAGAGTTGGCGCGAAACGACTATGATAGACATTGGGCAAAGGTGTTTCTTGTCTGCCATTGTCCCGTGAGAGAAGCTTCGTTTAGCAGAAATGTTCCTTTTCTTTTGACAGGTGTTGCAGATATCTTTTGACACATGAAGTTGATCGGTATTAGAGAGAAACGTTCTGTTTATTGTTCAAAACTAGGGGCAATGGAGAAAGATGCATAGGAATGTAAAGATGAATTCGAGCTTGCTCATATCACAAAGAGGCATTCTTTTGTTTTGTTGCACCTGCACTCTTAGTTCAAAACAAGGGATAAGTGCACTGGAAGTCTTAAAACTTGACACGAAAGTGCAATTGAAACCTAAAACTTTCAAAAAGTGCAATCGAGCCCTAAAACTTATCACAAAAGTGCAATCAAGTCCTAAAACTTTCAAAATAATATAGTCAACGGAAGGACTTGATTGAACCACTTTGACAAATTTTAGGACTTGATTGTATTTTTTGAAAGTTTTAGGACTTAATTGCACTTTCGTGATAAGTTTTAGGATTTATTTGCACTTTTTGAAAGTTTTAAGACTCAAGTGCACTTTCATAACAAGTTTTAGGACCACTATTGATATGAATCTCCTTTTGTGAATAATTAAGAGTTGTATATTCCAACTTCATATACTCTCTCCAAAGCTTCATTGATCATGGCTCAGCTTATCCCACCCCATGTGTGGAGGATTCAATTCCATGCAAGTAGTTGCTCATGTCATGCCCATGTTAGACTTTGCATCATGCTATCTTACATATTCTTAACACAACATTCCTATCACTACAAAAAAATCGGGTTTTTCCGACGAAAATTTCCGACGAAAAACTTTTCGTTGGAAATTTGCAACGAAAATTCCAACGAAAAATAAATTCGTCGGAAATTTCCGACGAAATTTTCCGACGAAAAAATTTTCGTCAGAAATTTCCGACGATTTTATTTTTCAGGAACTTTTCGTTGCAAATTTCCAACGAAAATTTTTTCGTCGCAAATTTCCAACGAATTTTTGCGACGAAATTTTTTTCGTCGCAAATTTCCAACGAATTTTTTCGACGAAAAAATTTTCGTCGGAAATTTCCGACGAATTTTATTCGTGGCAAATTTGCAATACGAAATATGATGTATTTGATATCTGTCCCGACCCCTAATTTCTCTCTGTCGACTGATTCCTCTTATCCTCTCGCTGTTCTCTCTCCGTCTCTCTCTTTAATTTCTCTCGAATTACTTATCGGTGCACGCGCAAATCAATCTTGGTAAAGCTTTTTCGCCAGTAAGTGTCGTGGCTAATTTCATGAATAATTGGCGACGAAAACGGTTCGTCGCAAAATTATTCTTCGCTAGATTTGTATTTGTTGGTGTTATTAAAAAAAAAATTTTCCTTTCCTCACTGGTTTGGCCGATCGCCGGCCATGGGGCGAGGTCCGGTGGCCTGGCCATGGCCGTCGGTCAACCTCGCCGACGCACACAGGCGGGCTAGCCTCGCCGGCCAAGCTCGCCGGCCATGGCGAGCTCGGCCCCGGCCGGCGGCGAGGCGCCTCGCCGGCACCGGCGAGCTCGAGCTCGCCCGGATGTGGGCGAGATCGGGCCTCGCCGGCCATGGCGAGCTCGAGCTCGCCGGCGGCTTGGGCGCCCTCGTCGGCAGCGAGGGCCGAGCTCGCCATGGCCGGCGAGCTCGAGGTCGCCGAGATCTCGGGCGAGCTCGCCGGCGGCGAGGCGGAGCTCGCCATGGCCGGCGAGCTCCCGGCTCGCCATGGCCGGCGAGCTCCGGCTCGCCCGGACCTCGGCGAGATGCGGGCGAGCTCGAGCTCGCCGGCGGCTTGGCGGCCATCGCCGACCGGCGAGGGCCGAGCTCGCCATGGCCGGCGAGCTCCGGCTCCGCCCGCACCTCGGCGAGATCCGGGCGACCTCGAGCTCGCCGGCGGCTTTGCCGGCCTCGCCGGGCGGCGAGGGCCGAGCTCGCCATGGCCGGCGAGCTCGAGCTCGCCCGGATCCGGGCGAGCTAATGCTCGCCCGCGGCTTGGGCGGCCCTCGCCAGCACCGGCGAGGC